ACCACGGTGCGCCACCATCTTCCATTGTCTGAAATAGATGCCTGTCTCTACCTGACACGGATTAGATCCACTGGTCACGGCTTCTTACTAGAACCTCCATAATTCCCTTACGAAGCTAGTCACTATCTAGTATGATATGATGAGCCGTGAACTGAATAGAATTTTATTCCCACTGATGAACATGACATTGATTTCCCTAAACTTGACCATTACTATATAGTCAAATTATCTCCTTTATTCAAATAGGGTGCTGAATGTTATCTTCTTTACTTTCGTAAAACTAGCACTGTCAAACGAAAACAAAAGATACGAGTCATTATACTTGCATTTTTTAAAAATCGCATCTACAAATTTTCGGTCGCTTTATGTTAGGCGATTTTGATTGTCCAATGTTGATACTGAAGTCGATGCTGATGATATAGCATAGAATAACAGCATAAACTTCACAATTAAGCCATCTAGCTCAGAGAATTCGCGATCATCTAAATGCATAGCAGTAATAATTTCAAGATATCTTGGATGTAAACAGTACATTACTTATACGAATATTCGTCAAGATTAGAACGAATAGTTTGACATGAATTAGACGCCGTGTATAGAGAAGTCATTATATGTGAGAAATATATTTGAAATAATCTCAGCGTTTGAAATTTAAATAATTCCAACGTTTCGTCCAGCTAACATATCTGGACTTCTTCGGGGTAATAATCAAAATCTTACATACAATTCGTTTTCAGTTAATTATATCCACGCCATGAATTTTTCACACGATTACAGTGTATTCTGACTCATATTATCTTATTTTACAAAATCAACATCTATATATGATTGGTTTTGATTGTTAAAAACCGATATATTTCTTTGATGATTTTGATATTGCTTATTAACCTGAAGAAGTCCGGACAAGTTAGCTGGACGAAACGTTAGAATTATTTAAATTTCAATCGCTGAGATTATTTCAAATATAATTCTCACATATAATAAATACATTACTTACTTAAGCCTGTTACTTCTTGTGAAGGAGCATAGGCCACTCACCAACACTCTCTATCCAACACTATCCTGAGTAATCCTTTCCAGTGTTTTCCAGTTATTATTTATCCTTTTCATATCTACTTCTATTTCTCAACGTAATATCCAAATAATATATCATAGGAAAAAAATTGCAAAACACTTGAATATTGATCATTCCCATTTAAGATCTACACTTAAACAAAACCAAAAAAAATAAAACAACTAAAGAATTGAATTTCAAGTGTTATCCAACGGAAATGAATACAGATTATTATTTTTCCCTTGAAATATTCAATGAAAATTATTATTGCTGGAAAAAAACTAATTTTTTTCTTTCTCAGATTTAATCTAATCTCTTAGTAATAATTATGTAAAAAAAAGTACCCACTTATTCTGAATTAAGCATTACTTCACAATCAATCTATATTTGTGGTTATGGATTATGTAACAATGATACTATATTACCTTTATATAATGATAATTATTATTATTATTGTTATGACCTTGAATCGCTTTACCCCGTGATACTTGTTATGACTTCACCTTGATCTGTCTAGATTTAACTATGACCTTGACGCGATAGGGTGAGCGGCTTAACCTTGAAGTCTATCACGCGTGAGTTCGAGTTGGGGTAGAGAGATAACTATTCTAGAACCTGATTGGTTGGCAAGCACGCAAGTGAGAGAAGACAAGACAGGTGGAACACTGAACTCTGGATTCTCTGAATTCGGATTAATGCAAAAATGTACATGAATAAATAAGTGAATATCTTGACTACGACGTACAATAATTTGGAAAAATACATTTATGCACGAAACAGGGAATTAGAGTAGAAAATACAGTGCAAAATATTATCTTTAAATTACAATATTTTCGGAACCAAAAAGAGTATGCTAGTGAATGATGCATAGAACGAAAGCTCGTGTTATGTAGAATAAGATAGGGACAAAAATAAATATAAGTGTTTTACAGGGTTTGAATGAAATGCAATAACGTCCCAAGAAAATAGCTTTCGTGATTGTCTGGGCTTCTTAATTCCCCGTTCATAACACCTTCCCCCTTAAAAAAAAGAAAAAAAAATATGGTTAGTTACTATATACAGGTAAGTGCTGAGATATCATCATTGATATCTTCCTTCGGAAACGTATGTTCTCCTCTTTGGGTCTACCTGTAGAATATCTGGTCTTCTGCGTTTCCGTGATGCTTTTCTAATAGGACTTTGTTCATGTTGCGCAGTCTTCTGAGTTGCTGAGCATTTTATGTCGAAACTGTCCAGAATGATTCTCCACATTGAGTCTAATTTCTCGGTTTTCTGTGAAGTGCCAGCATTTTCCAGTATGTGGTTGACATGGCGTGTCCACTTCTGTCCTTCAACTTCCACCACATACATTACATTCCCTTGTCTCTTAAGTATGCGTCCACTGGTCCATTGTGGAGGTGAATATCGGAAATCACGGACGTATACTTTTTGATTTTTTTGGAAAATTCTGCGTTTCGCCCCATGATGGCGATCAAACTGGCTTTCCATCTTTCTGTTTCTTTTTCCGATGTCTATTTTCTGTGGTTTTATGGCATCGAGAGCAGTTCTTACTTTTCGACCAAACATGATTTCTGCTGGGGACATTTGATTTGGTGTTGATGGGTTTGAAGTTGTTCTATAGACCAAGAGAAAATCATCAAGAATCTCCTCTATCTTTCCCTCCCCTTTTGCCTTCAGTAGCGCTCTTTTGAAAGTATCTACAAACCTTTCGGCCTGACCATTCGATTGTGGATGGTACGGAGGTGAACGGACATGTTTGACTCCAAACCTCTTGCAGAAATCTGAGAAGATGGAAGAAATAAACTGAGTGCCGTTATCTGTCACGAGAACATCTGGAACTCCAAAACGGGAGAATAACTGCCGTAGCTTCCTGATAGTCTGTTGCGAAGTGATTTGATTTATAGGAAAAATCTCCGGCCATTTTGAATAAGCATCAACACAAACGAGGAAGTACGTACCCTGGAATGGGCCAGCAAAATCAACATGTATACGTGACCAAGGTTCTTCTGGAGATGGCCAGGAATGTAGTTCAGCTTTTCGTGGACACTTAGAAACCTCAGCACATTTTCTGCACGCACGCACGAAATCTTCGATGTGTTCATCGATATTAGGCCAATATACATAACTTCGAGCAATAGCTTTCATTCTTCCAGTACCTGGATGGGCTGTATGCAGTTGTTTCAGGACGAGTGAGCGTAAGTTATACGGAACCACTACGCGATCAGCAACCATAATACAGTCATTTACGATGGATAAAGATTGACGTCGTTGATAATACTGTTTCAGTTCATGAGATGTTATACGTGGGGGCCAACCACGCTGGATAAATGTAGATAATCGTCTTAAGATAGGATCGCGGCGAGTGTGTTCAGCGATTCGAGCAGCTGTCACTGGAAGAATTTGTGTTGAATTAAACAACATTCTGCTTACATCTTCTTCCACTGATATAGAAGCGATAACAGTATCTTCGTTTTCAAGCTTATGATTGCTTATTAAGCGCGATAATGCATCAGCATGGCCAAAATCAGAGGTAGATTTGTATTTGATAACGAAATCATAACCCAATAGCATTGTAGCCCATCGTTGGAGGCGGTTTGCGGTATAAACTGGTATACCTTTCTTAGATCCGAAAATTGATAATAGGGGTTTATGATCAGTGATTAAGGTAAATTTTCTGCCATGCAGCATCTTGTGAAACTTTTTTACTGCGAAAATTAATGCCAATCCTTCTTTCTCAATTTGACTGTACTTGCGTTCTGCTGAAGTCAATGTTCTGGAAGCATGTGCGATAGCCTTCTCTTTGCCATCTGGAAACTTATGGGATATGACGGCACCGATACCATAGTCAGAAGCATCTGCAGCAACAACAATTTCCAGCGAGGGATCAAAATATGTAAGAAGTAGATCCGACGTTAATAATGACTTTACTTCATCAAAACATTTTTGACACTTAGTGGACCAATTCCATTTTACATTACTGGATAATAATTGATTCATAGGTGCTCGGAGGCGATGCAGTTGTGGCAAGAAATTACTGTAATAACTGATAAGACCAAGGAAGGAACGCAGAGTTGCTACATTAGATGGAGGAGGCATATTTTGGATAGCTCGTACATTTTCCGGATCTGGGCGTCGTCCATTTTTGTCGAAAACAAAACCAAGATATTTCACCGAGTTCATGAAGAATGTACACTTTTCTTCTTTTAGATAGAATCCACACTCAGATATTTTGGTTAAAACAGTATCGAGTCGATTGAATAACTCGGACTTACTGGAACCTGTAACGATTACATCATCCAAATAGACAGCGACTCCTGGCAAATTAGCCAACATAGTGTCCATTATTTGTTGAAAGATAGCTGGTGCTGGTTTCACACCAAAAGGTAAACGCTTATATTGGTAAAGACCTCTGTGGGTGTTAATCGTCAGTAATGGTTGGGAGGCTGGATCAACTTCTATCTGGAGATATGCGTCAGCCAGGTCAATTTTAGCAAAATACTTTCCTCCATTTAGTTTGATGAATAAATCTTCCTGTATGGGAAGTGGATATGTGTGATCTTCTAGAGCATTATTCAGACCAGTGGAAAAATCAGCACAAATGCGAACAGTTCCGTTTGCTTTTCTCACGACCACTATGGGAGCAGCCCACGATGAATAATTTACTGGCTCAATGACACCTAGTGCTTCTAACCTGTCCAATTCTTGGTCAACGACTGACAAAGCAGCATAAGGCACTGGTCGTTTCGGTCTGAAAATGGGTTTTGCATTTTCCTTTAGTGATAAAGATACTTTGGTGAATTTACAACAACCCAGTTTGTTTTGAAATACACATGCATGCTTTTGTCGAAGATGATTTATGTAAGATACAGACGACAATTGAGAGGAAACAGAAGACTTTGATGTAGACATAACATTAGAATGAAGTACATGAGACTTCGAAATTTCACCAGCGCATACTTTGTCTGAAGTCTTCGATTTGGAAATTTTATGAGAAGGTAATGAATCGGCGGTATTAGATTTGACATGGTGAGAACAAATAACATTTGAATTGTTTGATTCAGAAAAATCATAAGAACATGTTACATCAGGAGCACTTAATTCATTAATATCCAGAGAGGATGATTCGTTGGAGGCATTTGATTTAGAAATATCATTAGGGATTTGGATAGACTCATAGGAAACATTATGGGAACATACCTCATCTAATAATTTATTCAAAGTATCAACATGAGCAATCCAATCTAATCCCAATAGATCTAAATCGTGTCGATTTGTTAGATAACAAACATCCGTAAATTTACTTCCCATGAGTTGAACATTGCATAGAACCTCTCCTGTTAACTTTACTATGTCTCCTGAAGCATTTCGGGCGACATGTTCCGTCGGTCGGATGCGTGGGCATCCTAACTTGTGCCATGTGTTCTTTGAAATCAACGTGACATCAGAAGCAGTGTCCAACTGAAGTCGTATAAGTTTTTCATTTACTAATAAATTTACAAATTTCCGCCTGCTTTTAAATCCAACTTTAAAGGTTGCAAACGTGGTTTTAATTTGACTGTTTGATCGTTGATTTGAATTTTCACTACGACGTTTAGTCTTGCGTTTATTTGACGAACAATGACCGTCTTTGTGGCCAATGCGATGGCATTTGCGGCATTTATGATTCTTGAACGGACAGAATTTCGCAAAATGCCATGCTCCGCAGAACCAGCATGGTGATGGGGGTTTCGCAGAAGGTTGTTTCGTGCTTGTACAGTTTTGTTTCGATGATTTTATGGATCGGAGTGCATTAATTGAACCAGACTCGGAAGGTTTAACCTTCTGTTGCACCATAGCCGTGTCATGCTTGAGATTAAGTAATCGCTGACATTCGGTTGTGACCATTTGTAATGTCATATTTGGTTCTTGTTCAATACGTGCCAACATTCTGGTACGGACATCTGCATCTTCTTCATTCTTTAGACCACATATGAAAATCAAGCATTTAAATTGGTCTGCAGTGATTTCGTTTATTTTAAAACGTTCGCACTCTCGATTCACCTTCCCAGCATACGTGACATAATCGTCCTCTGGAGATTTTGTTAATTGGAAACATTTATAACGAGCATTAAATAATGAGGACTGTTCATCGAAAATATCAGATAAAATCTGGACTGTATCTTTGAATGATACATCTCGTGGATTTTGCGGTAAAATAAAATTCACATATTTATTATATTCCTGTGTTCCCAGTCTTCTTAAGAGTAAGCGGACTTTTGCTGCGTCATCAAGATGCGAGTATTCAATGCGGAAAATGTCTTCATAACGGTGAAACCACGAACTGAAAATGACATTAGCTTCAGGATCATAGTGGAATTCAGAAATAGAATTTATGATACTTTCATACTTGTCTGATTGACAAGTTGAGGACGACTGTAATGAGAACATTCGTGCCAATGCATCCAAAAGCTTCGTTTGATTCGCATCATTTTGTGCTTGCTGCATTTGAAGAATAGTTTTAAGGTCATCCAATGATACAGGCATTTTGTACTGGATCAATCAATATATAAAATAATAAGAAATTCCCGTCGCCAGTTGTTATGACCTTGAATCGCTTTACCCCGTGATACTTGTTATGACTTCACCTTGATCTGTCTAGATTTAACTATGACCTTGACGCGATAGGGTGAGCGGCTTAACCTTGAAGTCTATCACGCGTGAGTTCGAGTTGGGGTAGAGAGATAACTATTCTAGAACCTGATTGGTTGGCAAGCACGCAAGTGAGAGAAGACAAGACAGGTGGAACACTGAACTCTGGATTCTCTGAATTCGGATTAATGCAAAAATGTACATGAATAAATAAGTGAATATCTTGACTACGACGTACAATAATTTGGAAAAATACATTTATGCACGAAACAGGGAATTAGAGTAGAAAATACAGTGCAAAATATTATCTTTAAATTACAATATTTTCGGAACCAAAAAGAGTATGCTAGTGAATGATGCATAGAACGAAAGCTCGTGTTATGTAGAATAAGATAGGGACAAAAATAAATATAAGTGTTTTACAGGGTTTGAATGAAATGCAATAACGTCCCAAGAAAATAGCTTTCGTGATTGTCTGGGCTTCTTAATTCCCCGTTCATAACACCTTCCCCCTTAAAAAAAAGAAAAAAAAATATGGTTAGTTACTATATACAGGTAAGTGCTGAGATATCATCATTGATATCTTCCTTCGGAAACGTATGTTCTCCTCTTTGGGTCTACCTGTAGAATATCTGGTCTTCTGCGTTTCCGTGATGCTTTTCTAATAGGACTTTGTTCATGTTGCGCAGTCTTCTGAGTTGCTGAGCATTTTATGTCGAAACTGTCCAGAATGATTCTCCACATTGAGTCTAATTTCTCGGTTTTCTGTGAAGTGCCAGCATTTTCCAGTATGTGGTTGACATGGCGTGTCCACTTCTGTCCTTCAACTTCCACCACATACATTACATTCCCTTGTCTCTTAAGTATGCGTCCACTGGTCCATTGTGGAGGTGAATATCGGAAATCACGGACGTATACTTTTTGATTTTTTTGGAAAATTCTGCGTTTCGCCCCATGATGGCGATCAAACTGGCTTTCCATCTTTCTGTTTCTTTTTCCGATGTCTATTTTCTGTGGTTTTATGGCATCGAGAGCAGTTCTTACTTTTCGACCAAACATGATTTCTGCTGGGGACATTTGATTTGGTGTTGATGGGTTTGAAGTTGTTCTATAGACCAAGAGAAAATCATCAAGAATCTCCTCTATCTTTCCCTCCCCTTTTGCCTTCAGTAGCGCTCTTTTGAAAGTATCTACAAACCTTTCGGCCTGACCATTCGATTGTGGATGGTACGGAGGTGAACGGACATGTTTGACTCCAAACCTCTTGCAGAAATCTGAGAAGATGGAAGAAATAAACTGAGTGCCGTTATCTGTCACGAGAACATCTGGAACTCCAAAACGGGAGAATAACTGCCGTAGCTTCCTGATAGTCTGTTGCGAAGTGATTTGATTTATAGGAAAAATCTCCGGCCATTTTGAATAAGCATCAACACAAACGAGGAAGTACGTACCCTGGAATGGGCCAGCAAAATCAACATGTATACGTGACCAAGGTTCTTCTGGAGATGGCCAGGAATGTAGTTCAGCTTTTCGTGGACACTTAGAAACCTCAGCACATTTTCTGCACGCACGCACGAAATCTTCGATGTGTTCATCGATATTAGGCCAATATACATAACTTCGAGCAATAGCTTTCATTCTTCCAGTACCTGGATGGGCTGTATGCAGTTGTTTCAGGACGAGTGAGCGTAAGTTATACGGAACCACTACGCGATCAGCAACCATAATACAGTCATTTACGATGGATAAAGATTGACGTCGTTGATAATACTGTTTCAGTTCATGAGATGTTATACGTGGGGGCCAACCACGCTGGATAAATGTAGATAATCGTCTTAAGATAGGATCGCGGCGAGTGTGTTCAGCGATTCGAGCAGCTGTCACTGGAAGAATTTGTGTTGAATTAAACAACATTCTGCTTACATCTTCTTCCACTGATATAGAAGCGATAACAGTATCTTCGTTTTCAAGCTTATGATTGCTTATTAAGCGCGATAATGCATCAGCATGGCCAAAATCAGAGGTAGATTTGTATTTGATAACGAAATCATAACCCAATAGCATTGTAGCCCATCGTTGGAGGCGGTTTGCGGTATAAACTGGTATACCTTTCTTAGATCCGAAAATTGATAATAGGGGTTTATGATCAGTGATTAAGGTAAATTTTCTGCCATGCAGCATCTTGTGAAACTTTTTTACTGCGAAAATTAATGCCAATCCTTCTTTCTCAATTTGACTGTACTTGCGTTCTGCTGAAGTCAATGTTCTGGAAGCATGTGCGATAGCCTTCTCTTTGCCATCTGGAAACTTATGGGATATGACGGCACCGATACCATAGTCAGAAGCATCTGCAGCAACAACAATTTCCAGCGAGGGATCAAAATATGTAAGAAGTAGATCCGACGTTAATAATGACTTTACTTCATCAAAACATTTTTGACACTTAGTGGACCAATTCCATTTTACATTACTGGATAATAATTGATTCATAGGTGCTCGGAGGCGATGCAGTTGTGGCAAGAAATTACTGTAATAACTGATAAGACCAAGGAAGGAACGCAGAGTTGCTACATTAGATGGAGGAGGCATATTTTGGATAGCTCGTACATTTTCCGGATCTGGGCGTCGTCCATTTTTGTCGAAAACAAAACCAAGATATTTCACCGAGTTCATGAAGAATGTACACTTTTCTTCTTTTAGATAGAATCCACACTCAGATATTTTGGTTAAAACAGTATCGAGTCGATTGAATAACTCGGACTTACTGGAACCTGTAACGATTACATCATCCAAATAGACAGCGACTCCTGGCAAATTAGCCAACATAGTGTCCATTATTTGTTGAAAGATAGCTGGTGCTGGTTTCACACCAAAAGGTAAACGCTTATATTGGTAAAGACCTCTGTGGGTGTTAATCGTCAGTAATGGTTGGGAGGCTGGATCAACTTCTATCTGGAGATATGCGTCAGCCAGGTCAATTTTAGCAAAATACTTTCCTCCATTTAGTTTGATGAATAAATCTTCCTGTATGGGAAGTGGATATGTGTGATCTTCTAGAGCATTATTCAGACCAGTGGAAAAATCAGCACAAATGCGAACAGTTCCGTTTGCTTTTCTCACGACCACTATGGGAGCAGCCCACGATGAATAATTTACTGGCTCAATGACACCTAGTGCTTCTAACCTGTCCAATTCTTGGTCAACGACTGACAAAGCAGCATAAGGCACTGGTCGTTTCGGTCTGAAAATGGGTTTTGCATTTTCCTTTAGTGATAAAGATACTTTGGTGAATTTACAACAACCCAGTTTGTTTTGAAATACACATGCATGCTTTTGTCGAAGATGATTTATGTAAGATACAGACGACAATTGAGAGGAAACAGAAGACTTTGATGTAGACATAACATTAGAATGAAGTACATGAGACTTCGAAATTTCACCAGCGCATACTTTGTCTGAAGTCTTCGATTTGGAAATTTTATGAGAAGGTAATGAATCGGCGGTATTAGATTTGACATGGTGAGAACAAATAACATTTGAATTGTTTGATTCAGAAAAATCATAAGAACATGTTACATCAGGAGCACTTAATTCATTAATATCCAGAGAGGATGATTCGTTGGAGGCATTTGATTTAGAAATATCATTAGGGATTTGGATAGACTCATAGGAAACATTATGGGAACATACCTCATCTAATAATTTATTCAAAGTATCAACATGAGCAATCCAATCTAATCCCAATAGATCTAAATCGTGTCGATTTGTTAGATAACAAACATCCGTAAATTTACTTCCCATGAGTTGAACATTGCATAGAACCTCTCCTGTTAACTTTACTATGTCTCCTGAAGCATTTCGGGCGACATGTTCCGTCGGTCGGATGCGTGGGCATCCTAACTTGTGCCATGTGTTCTTTGAAATCAACGTGACATCAGAAGCAGTGTCCAACTGAAGTCGTATAAGTTTTTCATTTACTAATAAATTTACAAATTTCCGCCTGCTTTTAAATCCAACTTTAAAGGTTGCAAACGTGGTTTTAATTTGACTGTTTGATCGTTGATTTGAATTTTCACTACGACGTTTAGTCTTGCGTTTATTTGACGAACAATGACCGTCTTTGTGGCCAATGCGATGGCATTTGCGGCATTTATGATTCTTGAACGGACAGAATTTCGCAAAATGCCATGCTCCGCAGAACCAGCATGGTGATGGGGGTTTCGCAGAAGGTTGTTTCGTGCTTGTACAGTTTTGTTTCGATGATTTTATGGATCGGAGTGCATTAATTGAACCAGACTCGGAAGGTTTAACCTTCTGTTGCACCATAGCCGTGTCATGCTTGAGATTAAGTAATCGCTGACATTCGGTTGTGACCATTTGTAATGTCATATTTGGTTCTTGTTCAATACGTGCCAACATTCTGGTACGGACATCTGCATCTTCTTCATTCTTTAGACCACATATGAAAATCAAGCATTTAAATTGGTCTGCAGTGATTTCGTTTATTTTAAAACGTTCGCACTCTCGATTCACCTTCCCAGCATACGTGACATAATCGTCCTCTGGAGATTTTGTTAATTGGAAACATTTATAACGAGCATTAAATAATGAGGACTGTTCATCGAAAATATCAGATAAAATCTGGACTGTATCTTTGAATGATACATCTCGTGGATTTTGCGGTAAAATAAAATTCACATATTTATTATATTCCTGTGTTCCCAGTCTTCTTAAGAGTAAGCGGACTTTTGCTGCGTCATCAAGATGCGAGTATTCAATGCGGAAAATGTCTTCATAACGGTGAAACCACGAACTGAAAATGACATTAGCTTCAGGATCATAGTGGAATTCAGAAATAGAATTTATGATACTTTCATACTTGTCTGATTGACAAGTTGAGGACGACTGTAATGAGAACATTCGTGCCAATGCATCCAAAAGCTTCGTTTGATTCGCATCATTTTGTGCTTGCTGCATTTGAAGAATAGTTTTAAGGTCATCCAATGATACAGGCATTTTGTACTGGATCAATCAATATATAAAATAATAAGAAATTCCCGTCGCCAGTTGTTATGACCTTGAATCGCTTTACCCCGTGATACTTGTTATGACTTCACCTTGATCTGTCTAGATTTAACTATGACCTTGACGCGATAGGGTGAGCGGCTTAACCTTGAAGTCTATCACGCGTGAGTTCGAGTTGGGGTAGAGAGATAACTATTCTAGAACCTGATTGGTTGGCAAGCACGCAAGTGAGAGAAGACAAGACAGGTGGAACACTGAACTCTGGATTCTCTGAATTCGGATTAATGCAAAAATGTACATGAATAAATAAGTGAATATCTTGACTACGACGTACAATAATTTGGAAAAATACATTTATGCACGAAACAGGGAATTAGAGTAGAAAATACAGTGCAAAATATTATCTTTAAATTACAATATTTTCGGAACCAAAAAGAGTATGCTAGTGAATGATGCATAGAACGAAAGCTCGTGTTATGTAGAATAAGATAGGGACAAAAATAAATATAAGTGTTTTACAGGGTTTGAATGAAATGCAATAACGTCCCAAGAAAATAGCTTTCGTGATTGTCTGGGCTTCTTAATTCCCCGTTCATAACAATTATTAAACTAAAAGAAAAGATTGAATGTCATTTTTGTTTACATTTTATTTTCAGAAGGGGTTTGTGGAGATTTTAGAAATTTTCACAGATTGAAATCATGAGTCAGTATATGGTGGTATATGGTGGCACAACTTCGTGGATTGGTTGAAGTTAGACATTAACACCGTTGGACACCGGCTCAGTGGTCTAGTGGTTAATTGCTCGCGCGCGAGGCCAGTGGGTCCTGGGTTCGAGTCCCACGTGGTGCGGGTCGTGGGCGCGCACTGCTGAGGAGTTACACTTTATTTGTTACTAACTTGTTTTATTCAAATGAAATTTATAAAAGATTTCAGTGTTATTATATAGTTTGATTGTTAATGATATTTTCAATTTGTTAAGTGGATTCATCTAATATTTAGTTTTATAAAGTTTATTAAAAAGAATTTTTGATTGAGATCATGAACAGATTGATGTTAAACCACCATTAAAATGGATGACCGTTTCGTCCTATTGTGTAACTCCTCAGCAGTGCGCATCCACGATCCCGCTCAAGGGATTCGAACCCAGAGCCTTCAGTCTTGCGCGCGAACGCTTAACTTACTGGACTAATGAGCCGGTACCCGATGGTGGTAATGTCTAACCTCAACCAATCCACAAAATCGCGCAACCATCTTCCATTGTACTGAGATAGACACTTGTTTCTACCCGACACGGATTAACTCCACTGGTCACGACTTCTCACCAGAACTCCGAGAATTTTTTCACTAGGCTAGTCACTAATGAGCACATGGTAATTATCAGTTTACACTGAAAAAGGATTTTATTGATTATTGAAGAAATGAATCATATTGTTTGGAAAAGTTTTTAAATTCTAAAATAATTTTTTTTCTTATGTTCTTATTGTTTAAAATTAATTTTAATAGTTGATATCATGAGTATATTGAAGGTAGACCATCATAGGAAACTTAAAAGAACTAGATGGCTGTTTTATTCTATTGTCGAACTCCTCAGAAGTACTCATCCATGATCCCTTTACGCGAGATTTGAACCTAGGATCTGTTGGTTTTGAGCGCGAACGTAAATAGTTGGTTTTCATTGATATTTTATTATTTATTATGTTTGTATATTTTATTCTTTAACAAACTTATTAAAAAAGAAATTTCTGAAGTGATATAATGTTATGCTCTAGTTTCCCACACAAATTAATATCATACTGAAACTGGGTACATTTTGTTTTTCATGAAAAAACATAGTTGGGGATTTAGTTACCAGTTAAGCATTTCATTTGAATGTCACAAACATCTTATATAATTACTTTCCTGGAACATATTGTAGTTTGATTGAGTTAAGTTCTATAGACCAATTTAAAGTTATCAATGTCATCTCAGTTATATAAGTGAAATAAATATCCATAAATAGAAGACCATATTAAATGAACTTTGAGAATATGAAGAAAATAACAAAATGATGTATGAAACATAATAAATAAGAACAATATCAATTATAGAGTAGTAAAATCACAGTTCGTCAATTTATTTGAATTTGATTTTGAGAAATTTTGATAGATTTATCAATCTCAAATAAAGCGAAGAGCTTAGTATTCATTTAACGCTGTGTATTAACTCAATGAGTTAAAGCTAACTAATCAGGATAACTAGAATACCTTGTAGAGGTTAGAGAATTGGTTATGAATGTACTATTTAAAACACACAGTTATAAAATGTATATTCATAAATGACACTTTCATTTAAATTTAATAATTAGGAATGTCTTAGTGTTTAAACAGTTATACTGAGATATCTTATGATTAAATACTTTAATTTTTGTTCTTCTAGTAACCCAGAAAGTAATAGATTGATAGCTGTTTTAAAATTTCTGTATTTAATTATGGAATAGAATGATATAAACATTGAATATGAAATTATTGAGTTATTAATTTGTGTTACAGTTAAAACTACTTGTGAGTAATATAAATACATTGGTAAAACTTTCTTGAACATATAGTGATGAAATTTGCTTTCACTATTTGGTAGAGGTTGAATTTTTCTTACTAAGGAATTTTTTTTCACTTATACATTTATTAATATCTTCTTATCTTTGTTCTCTTTTATTGAAGATTTCTTGACAGATCTACAGTGAACTGGTATTTTTGATGGTTGACTAATTGGCTTAGTATGTAGTGAACGAAAACACCGATTGGGACGATCAAATATATTTGGACATGAAACTAGAGAATCATTTAGTAAAGTTTGAGAACCATACAGTAAATACTTCATTAGCAAAACACATAACAATTGTCTCAGACTTTATTGTTCCTTCATTTCCATACCAGTCACTCTCTGTTCTCGTTATTTTCACTTCGATTTCCTCAGATTTCTACATCCAGGCATTCCACTTTCGATTAGTGACATATACTACTTATATCTCTTGGCATCCGTAGCAAACACTACATGTATAAATGTATAAGTCAACGTGAATTTTTATTAGTAAACATGTCTAATTTAGTGGATTGATAAAATTTGAGTGATATTTAAAAGGTATCAATCAATAACTAAATGATAGCTAGTAGTACTTTCTTTCTGCCGATAATTTACAAAAATTGAGTAAAAGATGAATCATCAGTTAGGCTTAAAGTAAATTACAAGAAAAAGGATATCTTTTAGGATCATGAGGAACTGTAAATAATCATTTTCGTGTTTGATTAAATATCTTTACGGAGGTTACATTTTATGTAGCCGATAAAACTGTTTAAAGAAAGATGTTTATAACCACTGTCCAATAAATTGATTTAATTCAATCAAACACAGTTAACTATTGTGACCGAGATGTAATCTTTTCAGAGGACATGAAATGTTCGGAAAAGCTGCTTCATATGAATTCACTTTCAATTAACAATGTGACTCTAATGTACAGATGATGGAATATAACCTTTATTAACTGATAAAATCAATGAAGTAAAATATTTAATGCCTTAAATTGTTTACAAATCCCCAACATGAATGAAGAATATTCTTTTCAATAAATTCTCTTTAAGTTCTACAATCATATATCTAAATTGATAATACAAAAAATGGCCATGTTTAAGGCAGAATACATCGTTTAAGGTTAAAGCATGTGAATTAAGGATTATGAAATAGAATAAAATTGTTAATGTTGAGGTGACTAATATGTCATGTTAACTCAAATCTACTTATACGTTAAATGAATTCGTGAGATAAATGAACAGAATAAATATGGGTCAGAAAGGTTGAGTTTAGTAAAAGAGTGTATTGTATATAAGGCTACACGAAATAAGTAGGAAACAATAAACTAGGATGAATTCTTATTAGGCTAAATATGTATTCGGGAGATTCGTAGTAATATTAAATCAATAATAATAATGCTAATAATAATAATAATACTAAGTGAACTCGTAGTAGCTTTAAACCTAGCAAATTTGGCGACGGTGGTTTCGGAAACATGGATCCTTCTAAACCTGAATTATTACTTGAGCAGCAGTTGAAAATAATGCAGATGTTGATAGACATCAATATTTCGCCTTCCACACAGCCTAGCAAATCTAATGCAACCACATCACCATCAGTAGACGGCATCGCAAACAGCATTGCTGAGTTTCATTATGATCCTGATGCAAACGTTACTTTTGACATGTGGTTCCGGCATTATGAAGACCTATTTAAACTTGATTTTGCGAGTCAAGATGATTCTTGAAAGGTTCGACTGATACTTCGGAAGTTGGGTGCAAGTGAGCTAGATAGGTACTGTAATTTGATTCTGCCTTTGAACCCACGTGATTACCCATTCTCAGACACAGTCTAGTCATTGAGCCTATAGTTTGGAGATAACTCTTCACTGTTCAACACACATTATCGATGCTTGAAGCTGACTATGAACAAAAATACTGATTTTCTCGCGCATGTGGGTATCGTCAATCGAAGTCACTTACTGAAGGTTAATTTAAAGCCTTCAACCGCAGGGGTTCAGTGATATTAGAACACGCTTGCTTAGTCGATTAGACCAAGATCCCAAACTGACAATCAATGATATTGCGAACGAATATCAACGTCTAAATAGTTTGCAGCGTGACACAACGATGGTCCAGCGTGGGGCTTCTGACCGTACTGAAGTGCATGAAATCCAACAACCAGTCAACCCGCCTAAATCTGCTCCAGCTAAACCTAGTCCAGTCCAACAGGCGAAAACAAAGCTTCCTGCTCCATGCTGGCACTGCGGAGCATGGCATTTTGTTCGAAGCTGCCCTTATAAACAACATCGGTTCAGGAAATGTAAAGCTGTGGGTCATAAAGATGGATTTTGTCAAAAAAAGAAGCCGAATAGCTCCAGAAGTATCAGAAAGCCTGTCCATATATCTGGCAAGAATTTGTTGAGTTTAGTAGCAACCTGTCAGAACTCAACCCCAGGTGAGAGGAAATTTATTACCCTTAATATTATTGGGCATCCGTCTAGATTGAAAATAAACCCTGCATCTGACGTAACAATTTTCTCACGAAACTATTGGATCAGAATAGGGAGACCATGCACGGTGCCAACAACACAGAAACCTCGAACTGCATGCAGTATTTATCTACGTTTGTTGGGACAACTAGATTGTAATGTTCCTTTTGACAATTCGACTTTTACCGGGGTATGTTAAATTACACCAGCTGATCTTAATCAACTTGGTTTAGACTGGTTTGACCGGCTACATTTAGCTGACGTTGGAGTTTCCCCTCGTGGGTTCGAATTCTATTTCCGTCGCCAAATTTACTAGATTTGAAGCTATTACGAGTTCACTAAGTATGTGAACAG